AAAGTCACCTGATGAGTTTTTAGGGCTGAAGAAGGCTGGTCCAACACTTTAAACACTTTGCTGGCTCAGCTTCCAGCTGTACAGAAGCTGCTCATTGATCCTGGGACTAGTTGCCTGTGTGGCAACTATTTATTTATCTGCAGGGCTAGGAGGATAACTAAAAGCATTTCCTGCATTCACCAACCATACAGAACCAACCCATGTAGCACCACCAAGTCATTTCCTACAATCATAACAGCTTTATGGACTTTATTTTAAAAATGGCACAGAACACATTCATTTTACAGCACAATTTTACAGCACGCTTCCTAAATGTTTAATATGCTAAAATGAGTTCTGGAAAATATTAATTGTTGGAATGGTGTGTTTGACTCCAGGGTGTTATCTGGATTCAAATCCCAGTTTGAATAGATTCATGATTTATTCAGGCATCACACTAAAGAAAAACAGATCTGACTTTTGCCAAGCCTAATGTGTGGTCCCAGCCGCTTTGCTATGAAAATCATCATTTATAAATTAATAATATATTTGAGTCTTAGCTACTGTAGTTTATTCTACAGGCATAGTTGTTAATATTGTGGTTTAATGCAGGAGACAGGGAAGATGTGTGTGTGTGTGTGTGTGTTTGTGTTTGTGAACAATGTGTTTGCTCTATGCAATCCGTAGCACGACTAAGTCCACGTATGAGTGAGTCAGGCAGGTTCACATTCCCACTTTTTTTTTTCTGTTAGAGATTTTTTTTTCTCCCTTGATGAAATGCTTTCCAAATATTTGCATGGAAAGACAACCAGTGTGGTACAATGGCTAAAATCCTGCACTAGAATTGGAGACCAATTTAGACCACTTTCAGTGAAAAAGCCAGAGAGTTGTTGGTGGAAACAGTTGGAGTAGTACTATGCATGAGGGGTCCTTGGTACTCTCTGAACTTGCTTGTTTTCTTGCAGACATTTCATTAGCCAAACTAGATAACATCATCAGTGCTAGTAAGGAGTGCTGTTTGCTGTCAGTTTATATTCTGATGGCTTGCCTGTCAGTGTTGGTGGGGGTGGTCTAGAGATTCTTTGATTGGGCTGTTTGCTGTTGGCTTCTTTGGCAGTTTCTTGATTGGGGTACTGTTTACTTGATTGTTGGTCTGATGTTAACCTTGGAGTTAATCTATGCTGATCTGAGTGCTGATTGCTGGTGGAGAAGTGCTTGGGTCTTTTTGCCAGAAAACAATCAAGCTCAGAGAGCACCAAGGACCCCTCATGTCAACCCTGAGCTACAAATATTCTCCTTTATCAGTACTATGTATGCCACCTTGAGCAGATGGAGGACAGGCAAGATATGAACTGAAAAATAAATGTTTAAAATATCAGCTGTTTTTGCACAATACCTTAAACTACAATTTGGCTTGCCTATTTGGGTGCAAAATTATGGATGGCCATTAAATGGTGCAAGGTTGAGATTTATACAGTATAGCTGTCCGCTGGTATCTGCTGAGTGTCAGGTTTGCAGCAGACGTCTAGTGAGTCTATCTTTGTGGTCTACTGTTGTATGAATCCAGCTACTGTACTCTGGTTTATAAATTATGGGTCTGGCTCACAGCTTTGGAATATTATCACTAGAATGTGCTGCATTTTAGATCCAAAGCCAAAATAACGCTTTGGAGTGGGTGTAGATGTGCATGCCACACCTGCTGGGGCTTCCTTGAAGAGTGCATGCTTGCAGTGAAATTCTCTGTCCAAGCCACAGTATTTGTAAGGTGAGAACAATTGAAAGGTGTCCCAATTTAAAACAGTTTAGCATTCCATGTAACAGTTCCGTAAACAAGTGTTCTACCTCTATGAAAGAAAGAAAGAAAGAAAGAAAGAAAGAAAGAAAGAAAGAAAGAAAGAAAGAAAGAAAGAAAGAAAGAAAGAAAGACCCTGTGAGGATATGAGCTTGCAAGTTTACAGACACCCACCTCGCTCTCCCCAGACGAGAGCTTCCTATGGAGGCTGGGCATTTTCCACAGCCCCACCTAGCATTCTTTAACAGCTGCTGGAAATTGTTAGCACAATAGGAAATAGCTGATAGGAGGGGGTTGTTTGGAAGCGTAGCTTGTTTTTCTCCTTCTCTGATTTTTATTAGCCTAGAAAGTCCCAAACTCAGGAAAAAGAGGTGCTTGTTTTGGCAGTGAATCACGAGTCATGTGTGCAGAGGGATGCACATTTTGAACTACTGGCACGGGAGGCTGATTGCTGCAGATCACCCACATATCAGTGGTATGTGTACATAACAGAAGTTTCAAGGTTTAATGCTAGGGAATTTGGTATATCCTTGGTATTCTGAATATGGTAGTTTTCTCTCCAAAGATTATTTCTTCAGATTTGTTTTTAATTTGAGCAAGTTCATTGGAGTTTCTAAACTATATTATAGAACTTCTATAAATGTAGAAGTTAAATTAAGATTTGTAACTGCTCCGGGACAGTATGACATGCAACATAATTCTAATTCTGGTTTGAAAATCCAATACCTCTTGCAAATTTTCTTCTGCAATAAATTTGCAAGCCTACCTTACTAAACTGAAACAGAACTTTAAGCAAGTACTTGGGGCCAGTGGAATACAATAAGGCTAGTGCCTTCTGGAACAAGTGAATTGTTATGTTTTAACATTATCTCATATGTCTTTGCCCAGAGAAATGCAGCATGTGAGGTATACAAACTCAGTTGAGCCTGTTTTTCTGACGTACTGGTTTTATATTTGAGGGGTGTTTTATGAAGAATCCTGAACAATCCATCCCTTCCCTAGCTACAATCATTACTGATGCAATGTAGCAAAAGCTTTGCATGGCCTTGGGACAGTACAAACAGGCACATGTCCATTCAGAAGTGCTAACAGCCATGCAGCAAAAAAGAAGAACCTTTAGCCTTGCTTGTAGATCTTCTCTGAAGCAGAGACTTTGGGCTATGTCAAAGTCCTACTTATAGACCTAGCAATTTTGTTTGCTGGTGTGATTGCAGTGGGGGAAACGAGCACGAATGTAGGAAGCATTCCCAAAACATTCTGGGATAAAAGCAAAATATTTCCATCAGTGTCCCATTCTGAGTGTGAGAACTATAATTTGAGAGTTCCACAACAAAGCACTCAATTTATTCTCTCTCTTAAACATGGCCAATTAACTCGTGGTATTATCTGAGGCGTTGATTGGTAGTGTAGTTGTTTTGTAATTAAAATCTCTCAGTGCATAGTGAGGAATTATTTTATTGTTATGGTGAGTTTACTATTAAAGTAATTGCATCATTATTATCTGGAATTCATGCAAAGAACAACAGAGATTTCAAGAAGCCACTTCACTGCCTGAAATTTCCTGACCAGCATGCCATTGATAAAAAAAAGTCCACACACACCAGGAATTTCCCAAGGCTGGGAAATGGTTACTTAAATGAAAAGTCCAATGTAGGCTATTTTGACTCTTTTCAGATCCACTGAACATCAGGGCACTCTGATCGTGGATATGTTTACATATTTGCAAGCCACAGAGAAGCTGAGCATTGAGAATTATCAGGCAATTAGTGCTTGTCCACTGGCTTGTGACCAAGAACCTCTATATTCTTAGATCCATATCTTGCCTCACTTTTTTTTTCCTGCCGCTGTGCTTGCCATGGATAAATACCTCCATTCTCTTTCAACTTCTAATGCTGGAGTGCTGGCAGTTCTGCATTTGGGTTCCTTTGGCTTATAATGCCACTATACTAATTAAGACAGGAGGCCAGAGCTGGGAGGTGGAACCAACCATAAATCTCCTCCTTTGTGAACATATGTTCTATGTTCTTTTAGCACAAGCCAATGATGCATAGTCATTTTTGAAAATGCATTCTTGAAATGGATTTCCTCATCAATACACAAAACTACCAGAGAAAGGATGTATAACAGGGCTTTTCAACCAGTGGTACGGGTACCACCTGTGGTACATTGGCACCTGGCAGGTGGTACGCGACCATCCTAGAAAAGTGGTAGCAGGGGAGGGGAATGAGCTGAATTGGTGGCAACAGTGGACAAGCATGACCGAGAGAAGACTGCAGCTGCAGGGTTGTCAGGTCTAAGCGGAAGCGCCAGGATCAGCGCCAGGCTCCAGCTGGAGCTCGGCGCTGATCCTGGCGCTTCTGATGAGCCCAGAAGAAACGCCGATCAGCTGGAATGTTGCAGCATCTCTAGGGTCTTGTGATTTACATTCAGATGCTTGGCAACGATCCATATTATGATGGTCACAGTGTCCCAGGGTCATGTGAAGTGACCAAAACCTGCTGCAACCACCCAGCAGATGAGGGGAATAAAAACCAAACACCCCCCCACCCCACCCCCACTGCCAATCCTCAACAGAAATGCTCACAACAATGAAAACCTCGGACAGGAGGAAGAGCGCCGTCGGGCACTGTCTTGTTTGGCTGTGCCTTGGGGGGGCCATTTTTCAGTGCCATTGTAACTTCGAACAGTCACTAAGCGAACTGTTGTAAGTCGAAGACTACCTGTACTTTATCACTTTTTTCCTTTTTTTTTTTTTTTGGTCACCAAGTTTTTTGACACCTTGCTAGGCGACTGGTGGTACTCGGATGTTGCCATATCCTAAAAGTGGTACAATGGGTGAAAAGGTTGAAAAGCCCTGATGTATAAAGTACTTGAAAGTTCACTACGTGAGCAGTGAACACTACATGAGCAAACTATTTGCAAGTTCACTAATGTGACCAGCGAGGATGCTTCATCATGCATGAATATGAGGTCTGTGCCTTTCTGTACAAAATATCTGCCCATTGTTCCTTCAGTGTTAGGAAGATGCTCTGATTCAGTTATCTTCTTTGAATATCAAAAGATCATATGAACTGATGCTGCATTGCTCCATACAGGCTGGTTTATACTGAAAATGGAATCTATATCCCTTCCCACTCATCTCTTTCTCTCCTCCAAGCAAGTTTCTTATATTTTGTGCCTGTGAAGAGTAGTTGGAAAGTGCAAAAGCAAAGCCTGGCAAAATCTCAGAAATTAAGTAGAATTTCCAAAAATTCAGATTTGGGACTTTAAAACTTTCCACCTCCTCTTATAAACAGACACAAATCCCTAAATTTTTCAAGCACGATACTTCATACTTGATAGAGACAAACTTAATTTTTAGTGTATATATTAACCATGCAGGAATTTCTGGTTGCTAGTTCATGGTTGCTCAGGAACGAGATGTTAATTTAGCTACATAATATTGCTGATTATCTCAGGTTATTCTGAGGTCTCTCGTGTCTGCAGCAGGGAATTTTCTATGCCAAACCCTTCCAAACAGCAGTGGTAAGAAACTTGTGGTTGTTCTCTATAACCCTTCCCTAATCTGATGGCTCCCAACTATGTTGGAATTACATCTTCCAGATTACAGAAAGCTACGTTAAAGGAATTCAAGAATTATCAGATGAGACTGAGCTGAGCTATTGCTGACTCCACAGTTTATGGTATTTCAGGAAAAATGGACAAGCTCTTGGGAAGGATGTGGTTCCAGCTGCTTCTGTTCTCCCTGCTTTTTATCTTAGGCCAAGGAAAGAAAAGTAAGTTCAAAAAGTACATTCTTGATTTCGCTTTCTTTTACTCCCCAAACATTCCTAAAATATCCCTTTGTTTTCAAATAAGACGTCTATATATACCATTGGTTCTTAGGCTAAGGTTAACTACCTCCAAGGAGATAATTTGGCCCTATCCTGGGGATAATGGAGCAATTTGTAATTGCTTGTTTGGGAGTCAAGGATTAAGTTTGGGATTGTTGCTGCTGAGATACTTATGTAAAAGAAGGGTCTTTTTTTGTGAGGGTAATGACATTATTTTAGACCAGGAAAAAGTCAAACCCCTTAAAGAACCAATGAATTGCTTTGCCATTTTTTGGTTGTATCTAGCACACTGCCGAAACGGTGAGAATCTAATCATGTGGATATTGCAAGCCCAACTAACATCCATCGTAACTTGATCCTTCCAGAATAGTTTAATAAGCCTTTTTTTACTATTGTGTACAGTTCTGATATATTTTTCTTGAGATCAGTAACTGAAACACTGAACCAACTTAACTTTACAGATCATAATAATTCCTGAATGCTATTTCTGTTGCCATTAAATTGTTCTTGCAATTAAGTCTTGAGAAGAGATATCATATAGAACAAAATAAACAACTTCCTTTTCAATATATTCCTTTAAAGTCTGTTAGAGCATTTGCAATGAAGCAATGCTCTCTTAATGTGCAGAAGCTAGAAGTAAATTAATGTAACAATGAATGCATTATGATCCTTCCCAATCCAGGCCATTTGCAGTTTGGAAGCATGCCTCTGCAGGCATCATAAAATCAGTGGCACTCCTAAATGGGAATTATATACTCTCAAAATTAAATAAGAATTAAAGGATTAGCATTTAAGATTTAATGTTAAAATGCAAAAATGGCTAAAGCCTCATATCCAATTGTATGAAAGATCAGTGTGGGCACCATGAAATTCTATGAATTTTACACTTGGAAATTCAACAATGATCATAATCATAATCATAATCGTCATCATTATCATTTGCACTAATATACAATTTTATGTGATTATGCTCCCTTTCTGAAAAAAATGAGAGCTCCTGGGAACAATATCAAATTTTGGTAAAAAAAAACAACAACAACATTGACACTGCAAGTTTGAAAGGGAATGATGGTATGACCACATTTTAGAACTTGCCTATTTCTAGACCATTTCGTTCTAACCTATTTGTTTGTTTGTTTGTTCTCTAGTTAACCGCTGTGTGGCTTCTAGGGCAAAAAGCTGCACTGAATGCATCCGAGTGAGCAGCAACTGTACTTTTTGCACAGATGAGGTAAAAGCTTTTCACAGGTATTGAGTATAGGACGATGTGAATTAAGTCACTGAAATTTGGCCATGATCCCTGTCCATTCAACATTTGACATTGATCTAATTATTTTATTAGTTATTCCCTCCACCTTCAGTCTGACAACATGGACTTCTTGCGTTGTTTCTCCATTTTAAGAACCAATGAAACCCATTAAAAACAAAAGAACAAATTAACAAAAATATATCCACAGATGCTTTTATAGTGATTTGATTGCCTCACTAGTACGCCTCAGAAACACTGAGAGGGAGGGCTATAGACTGTAAAGTATTCCCAACCTCACTGAAGTTTCCTCCAGGAGGTCTACATGGTTAATAACAAAAATAATTTTATTTTCTATGGGCATGCCTTCTTTGAAATTTGTGTCCTATTGGAGCAAACAACAACAACAACAGTTCAAATAAATTGTATTTGGAGGCTGAGAACTCAATCGGGGGTTGGAGAGATTGCCTGGTTACCTACTGTAGTGGCCACAATAACAGCCACTTTGTGATAATACCTACAACATAACATCTTCACAAGGCCAAATTCAGTAGGAGTGAGGTAGAATTTTTCAGCAAGCCACTAATTCTAAACTTAGCCTAATATTAAGGCAGAAGGTGAGTCCCTAAAGACAATTTGATTTTGAGCCTACTTTCTAAGCATACTAATTATTCTCATCCCAGAACTTCAAAGGTATCCGTTGTGATTTGGAAGATAATCTAAGGATCTATGGCTGCCAAAACAACATAAAACTGAAGTCTGGAGAGTTATTAAAGACAAGGGTGAGTAGAGGTACAGTGAAAGAGTGCTGGATATGAACATAAGAAAATTAACATATACCTGAATAATCTTCCAGAATAGCCCAATGCAAAAATTTGTCAGAAAAAAATTAACTTAAGTAGCTATTCTCAATGAAGTAATTTCTAATTAGTTAGAATGTTTTATTCATTTACTGCAACCATTTACAGGTGGTCCTTCACTTACAACCACAGTTGAGCCCAAAATTTCTGTTGCTAAGCAAGGCAATAGTTAAATAGGTTTTGCTCCATTGTTGTTAAGCAAATCACTACAGTTATTAAGTGAAACCTGTAATTACTAAGCAAATCTGATTTCTCCCATTGACTTTACTTGTTGGAAGCCTGCTGGGAAGGTTACAAATTGTGATCACATGACTCTCAGGACAGTGCAACTGTCATAAGTATATGCCAGTTGACAAACACCCAAATTTTGATCATGTGACCATGGGAATACTGCAACGGACATAAGTGTGAAAACCAGCCATAAGTCACTTTTTTCAGTGGCATTGTAACATTGAACGGTTACTAAACAAATGGCTGTAAGTTGAGGACTACCTGTATACTCATAGGGGATACTGTAATATTATCTTTGGAATCAGTCCATTTAACCAATCTGCTGTGATAGTCTTCTCTAAATCTTTTCAGGATCCCCCATTATGTATTACTGATATCTTCCCTGGCAGGATTTCCAAATTGATACAACTTTGAAGAAAGCACAAGTATCTCCACAGCACATATCACTCAAACTGAGAGCGGGTGATGAAGTAAACATTGTCATGAAGGTGTTTGAGCCCACTGAATTTCCTGTGGACCTCTACATTCTTATGGATTTTTCATATTCCATGTCTGATGACTTGGACAATCTGAAAGAAATGGGTCAGAAGCTTGGTGAGAGATTAAACCATCTCATTTTGAAAGCAGACTGAGACATTTGTCGGTTAATTCTCTGTGATTTTTCAAGGAAGTTGGCAAAGGAGGGAAACAAAATCTAAAACTAGCAGGTGGATTATATATGTGGCAGTTAAAAGCTGGCTTTTTTCTTGCAAACTTGATCTATTCCAGCTTCAGCATGGAATGTGAGACTAAGAGATCTATTCTCATTTGAACGGCTTCACTTGATTCTCCTCAGTTGTTTCTCATCATGGTGGTCCTCACATTCTATGCCTAGGTTAGATAATGGCTGCTAGGCAACAATAGAAGATGGGCCAGAGCTGGAAGGGGAGTTAAATGCATCATCAGTTTAAAGTTTTTGCGTTCCTACAAGAGATCCAAGTGCACTCCTTCCTGTATTCCACTGATCATTATCTGGCATCAATTTAGCTTTGAACTTTAGTTGACCACATTCTTGTGTATACGCTTGGATAAATCTTCTATGCTGCAATCTTACAAATGGTCCTGATTCTTTGCCCGTGACAGCAACCAAGCTAATTTGAAATAGTATGCAAGGTTAAAACTAGTTAGTATTTGGATGGGTAATCACCAGGAAATAATGTAGCTACCATGGAAACTAATAAAACATCCAAAAAGAACGCTATAAGAGTGCTTCTATATTGTTGCCAAATAACTACATGGGCTTCCATGGTTATTAACAGTCAAGCTCATCTCAAAGGGATATTTCTGTTCCTATGCGCGCGCACACACACACACACACACATACACACACACACATATATAATCAGAACAAAGTTGATAGATATGAAAAACCATGTTCTTGCTTTTGTTTATGTAGTATCAGCAAAGTACAAAAAGCACAAAAAGGGAATTTACTGCTGATTTAGAGGACTTAAATTAAGATAAAGCAGAGTGGGGGCTGAGAGGGGGAAGAAAACCATATGAGGAAGAAATAGAGAGATTAAAGTGAATAAATAATTTATACATAGGTTTAACTTTTGATGGGTTAAGGAATAGGGAACTTTAAAACATAAAGCCTCTTCACAGTTGTTTTCTATGATTAAAATGAATACATTTAGGATATCCTATGATAATTAGGATATAAAGCTATAGAGAGAGAGATTCAAACTTACCTAGGTAACCTACAATTAAATTCACAAAGAATGGTGAAAACTTAATAATTCATCTTCTAACCAAGGACCTAAGAATGATTAAGGTAGCATCTGAGGATGTGGGCTGTTCCAAGCAGTGTATTTTATTTTTGTAAAATTAAAATGTTCAAGTCTGATAAATTCAAAATTTCCAAATATTGAGAGGAACCTTTAGGTATTGTTCTAAGAGCTCAAATCACAATTACAGTACTGTAGCAATAAATTTCTTTCTCCATATGCATTAACTTCTATCTACAAGTTCTAGTATTTTGCAATATTGCCTTGTCTCAATCCTAACATTACCTGGTGGAATAGCAGTATCAATGAGCAGACTTTCTTACTCTTATTATTATTTTGGCGTCTTCAAGTCATTGACTGCCTAGGCTAGTCCCTTCAGTTTTCTTGGCAATATATTTTTTTAAGTAGTTTGCTATGGCTTGCTTCCTAGGACTGAAGAGAGTTACCCTGCTGGCTTTGTGCCTAAAGGGAATTTGAACGGATGGTTTCCCTGTTTCTAGCCTAGTGCCTTAACTACTATACCAGACTGGCTCTTATTACCATAATACTAATAAATAATTAAAAAAACAAGAATATATATTCAAATTGCCTTAAGGTTCCTTTGTAATACATTGGTGTTTTCTCTACATGGTCATAAACATCTCCCAGGTTTGCTGTAAATTTTAATTGGTTCCTGGAGTGAATGATTTCACTTCGTCTAACTCTACATAATATTTATAGTAACTGAACTCCATCATGGGATTATAAGATTTAATCTAAAGTTCCCAAATATTTTCCTCCTTTCTTCTTTCTTTCTTCTATCCTGCCAGCAAATTTCTTGAGGGAGGTGACGGATGACTATACTATTGGTTTTGGCAAATTTGTGGACAAAGTTACAGCACCACAGACAGACATGAGGCCCACAAGGTCAGTAGTAGTGATGGATCCATTGGAAATGAACTATTCAGGATCCATGGAATATTTTTTTTTTGAAAAAATTAAGGCTTTTATCTAATCTGTGATCATCTAGTCCCATGTTTCTTCCTCAGACAGTGCTTTCTTACTTTCTTGCAATATTCTTCGTATACCCAAATCTTGTAGATATCAATTAACACACTGTTGATAGATGTGCTCTCACTCAGAATTCCTTTGTTTTTAATTCTGCCAACAATTCGTCAGTTGAATCCATTTCGTTCTATGGATTTAGGATCGGTTTGATTAATCCCTCAACAAAACTTCTCTTTAATATCCTTTTTAAGAAGCCTATAAAAGTCTCAGTGAATATAGCTTCATTAAAGCTAGATTAGCCATTTTGGATCTAATTCTCACTAACAGAGATGAAATGATAGAAGGTGTTGAAGCCACAGGAACCTTGGGAGGAAGTGATCATGCAATATTGGAATTCAACATTATGGAAGCACAAGCAATAGAACACAGTCAAACTAGAGTCTTGGACTTGAAGAGAGCTAATTTCAATAAACTTAGAGCTTGGGAAGGATTTCATGGATGAGAATCCTCAAGGGGAAAACAACTCAAGAAGCTTGGGAAATTTTGACAAGTGAGATTATAAAAGCCCAGTCTAACACAATACCAATGAATAAGAAAAATAACAGCTCTCAAAAGAAACAAGCATGGCTGTATAAAGAACTCTCTGATAAATTGAAAGACAACATGGACAAGTATAAAAAGGGGAAAGAGGGGAACATAACTAAGGCAGAATATTAGCAAATAGCCCGAGCCTGCAAAGATGAAGTGAGGAAAGCTAAGACTCAAAATGAACTAAGGCTTGCGACCAAAGTCAAAAATAACAAAAAAAAAGCTTCTTTCAACATATAAAAAGTAAGAAGAAAGTGAAGGAAATTATTGGTTCATTAGTGGGGGAAAGTGGCAAGAAGGTGACAAGCAACAGGGAGAAAGCAGAACTATTTAACTCATTTTTTGCATCTGTCTTTACACAAAGGGAAAAAACAGACCAACCTACCAAAAATAGTGCCATAAAAAACAGAATAGAAACACAAGTTAAGATAGGCAAGAAAACAGTAAGTGAGCACCTGTCCAGCCTAGACGAGTTCAAATCGCCAGGACCAGATGGATTACACCCCAGGGTTCTCAAGGAACTGGCAGATGTGATCTCAGAACCATTGAACTATATTTTTCAAAGATCCTGGAGCACTGGGGAACTACCGGAAGACTGGAAAAGAGCTGATGTAGTTCCCATCTACAAAAAAGGAAAAAAATGGACCCAAGAAATTACAGACCTATTAGCCTGACCTCAATACCTGGGAAGATTCTGGAAAAGATAATCAAACAACAAATCAGCAAACACCTAGAGGCATACAGAGTCATTACTAAAAGCCAACATGGGTTTGTCAAAAACAGATCATGCCAGACAAATCTTATTGCATTCTTTGACAAAATTAGTGGATCAGAGGAATGCTGTGGATATAATTTACTTGGACTTCAGTAAGGCATTTGATAAAGTAGATCACAACCTACTATTTGTAGCTGGCAGGAATAGCCAACACTCCAGAAGACAGGCTTAGGATACAGGAGGATCTGGACAGACTTGAACACTGGGCGCTATCTAACAAAATGAAATTCAATGGTGAAAAAAGTAAGGTTCTACATTTTGGCAAGAAAAACCAAATGTACAGGTATAGTATAGGGGGTACCTTGCTCAATAGTAGTAACTGTGAGAGGGACCTCGGAGTCCTAGTGGACAATCACTTAAATATGAGCCAGCAGTGTGCTGCAGCTGCCAAAAAGGCCAACACAGTGCTGGGCTGCATTAACAGAGGAATAGAATCAAGATCACATGAAGTATTAATACCACTTTACAATGCCTTAGTAAGGCCACACTTGGAATACTGCATCCAGTTTTGGTCACCACGATGTAAAAAAAGATGTTGAGACTCTAGAAAGAGTACAGAGAAGAGCAACAAAGATGATTAGGGGACTGGAGGCTAAAACATATAAGGAANATCATCATCATCATCATCATCATCATCATCTCACAAAGGGGTAAATAACAGTGTTTTAATGGCCCCATGAATAGACAGTTTGGGTAATTTGGCTTAATCTTGCCCAAGCAAGTCTGATAACTACTTGATGACTCATCCATTTGTAGAAAGGGACACTTGTTTGGGGTAGTTGTTTTTTTCATCACTTTGAGGTGAAACTGAAGAAAATACACAGAGAACCAAGTTTGCTCTTTTAAAGAAATCCTATGATATTGTATGGAATTTTCTAGCAATTGGAAAAGGAACAGGAATGTTAAGGTTAAGAACCCTTCATTTTAGCCTCTGTGTGCATGGGTGTATTTGTGTTATTTTATAACCTTATAATATAAAAATGTATTATCATGTGTTATCAAGCAAAAATAACAGGAACAAATGGCAACATTCTGAGAAACTGAATTGGTGCTCCAATGCCTCATTACTCAGAAGTAGGATACATACATAAGCAGTAGCAATGTTAAGCCTCATTGTCTTCTACTTCTATAAAATGTTTGCTTATCACAGCTTATTCTTATAGCTCATTGGTTCTTTGGGGAGTTTCCTATATTGTGTTAAACCTTAAAGCCTAGTTTACAAATAACAATGGCTAGCTTGCATATTGTGCTGCAAATGACAAAGCTGAATTTGTTTTAGTGTGAGATTTAAATGCAATCTCTTTTTTACTGTTTAAATAGAAACTATTCTGCTCAAATTCATTGCATTAAATAGTGTGGTAAACAAGAAGCTGTTTGTGCAAAGGATCCTTGTTTAGGATGTCGGATAACCAGGTTGGTGGTAGTTACCAATTAAAATTGTCTGTTCTTTTGCTTTCAGATTGCGGGAACCTTGGTTTAATGCTGATCCGCCTTTCTCTTTTAAGAATGTCATCCGTCTAACCAATGATATTAATAAATTCAGCCAGGAACTGATGAAGGAACGTATATCAGGGAACTTGGATGCTCCTGAAGGTGGCTTTGATGCTATATTGCAGACAACTGTTTGCAAGGTAAACAGAGAGAATACTGAAGATGGCATAGATATAGTGGTTCTCTATAAAGGGTAAAAACTGTCTTAATTGCATACCAAACTGGGAGAGCAGTAGGAAAATCTAGGCCAAATTTTTGCTTTAAAAAAATCCACAGACAGCTTTGTTTGCACTTTGATAAGAAAATGGGCGAGCTTTGGAGTTAGATATTGTGGAGACTGTTTATTTTATTGACTTATTTTTCACATTTTTGAACTACTCGTCTCCCCCAGAGATTGTTGCTGTTATCAAATTCTGCTATTATCAGCTTCTACCTGCAGTTAGGATATTATAGTCCGAATACCAACTAAACTTTTATAAAGGTCAGGGGAAAAACAAACTTGTCTAGTGCCTAATAACATTTGTAAATTTAGGGAGCTGAAGAGTTCATTGCTGAGGAGAGAAGATAAGCATGAAATTCCAAATATATGACACTGTTATTTTTCTCAATTAACCCTGGTGTAAGCTTCATTTGAAAGACATAGCAGGTGGTTACTAATATTCCTGGAATAGCATATTTCTCAAAAGTCATCACGAAAGGCCTTTCTGGGCTTCCGGCAGCTATTCCCACTATTCCTCTTGGCACGTGGAGAAAGTACACTTTAATTTTTATCTTTTTTATGAGGATTATACATTATATCACTTGGGAAAGTAAAATTGGACACTTTTGCTTTTTTAATTTTTGATGATTTGGGGTAGGGTTTTTTGTTTTTTTTTTGTTAACAGTTATGTGTGCTATCCTTATTTTCTACTGAAAATGTGCAAAACATTGTCCTGCTGGGATTCAGTAGTTTTCCATCAAATTTAGAAACACGATTCAGGAGGGCAGAAGCTGCCAAAATGAGGCTTAGGGCTGTGATTTACCCAGCTCCACTCTACATCTTAGACTTTCCTTATTCCTGCAGGAGAATATTGGATGGCGGAATGACAGTGCTCATCTCCTGGTCTTCTCCACTGAGTCGGCTTTCCATTACGAAGCTGATGGCGCCAACGTCCTTGCTGGAATCCTGAGAAAGAACGATGAAAAATGCCACCTGAATCAAGCAGGGACTTACACCTTTGATACCAAGCAGGATTACCCCTCTGTGTCTACCCTTGAGCGCCTGCTGAGGATGAGTAACATCAACCCTATTTTTGCGGTCACCAACCACTCCTATGATTATTATGAGGTAAAAGATGCCGTTAAGCAGGAAAAAAGATGGGAACTTGGGAGTATAAAGGAACAACCCCCAAGGGAACTAGCTCACCTATTTATTCGTAAGGCAAGAAGCTGAGTTCTCTTCCTATGGGAAGATTTGGAATTAAAACATTAAAAAACAACAACAACTAGTAATTCTTCATTAAAAGAGAGTTCTTTCCATTTGTCCCTACAGAGTAGAAAGGAGCCTTGTCCATATTTCCTGGCATCCAGAAAATCAGCTGAGAAATCACTAATTAATTTTGTGAGAAAGGAGTAGTCTGATCCCTGCTAGTTTTGTAGGCCAGGAAATTGAAGATTGCTTGCAGGAACTCAGGAAGGGGGGGAGGGGCAGGTTGAACTTTAATAGTTTAGAATTCAGTGTTTCTCAATGCTGGCTGTGGAATTCTGGGAGTTGAAGTCCACATGCCTTAAAATTGTCAAGGTTGAGAAACACTGGTTTAGATCAGGGATGTCAAACTGCTGGCCCACGGGCTGGACGTGTCATGAGGAAACCGCACCCACCCATTGCCCGCAATGGGGAAAAAGTCGTGCGATGTCGTGCGACGTCACGTGACATCGCAAGTTTGACATGTCTAGTTTAGATGTATGTCAGTGTAGCAGCTGAATGCCTAACTTCAGGTATAAGTAGTCCTTGACCTATGACCAGAAGTGAGCCCAAATTTTCTGTTGCTGAGCCAGACAGTTAAGTGAGTTTTGCCCCATTTTACAACTTTTCTTGCCACAGTTGTTAAGTGAATCACTGTGGTTGTTAAATTAGTAACTTAACAGTGAATCTGGTTTCCCCACTGACTTTGCCTGTCAGAAGTTTGCAAAAGGTGATCACATGACCACAGGGCACTGCAACCATAATAAATACATGCCAGTTGCCAAGCGTCCAAATTTTGATCACATGACTATGGGGATGCTGCAAGGTCATAATTGTGAAAAACTGGTCATAAGCCACTTTTTTCAGTGCCATTGTAACTTCGAACAGTCACTAAAAATGCTTGTAATTCAAGGACCGCCTGTATATATCTGAAGAATATATATGTATACACTGAATTGGGGAATGAAATATCCTTGTATCTGATTTCCCAAAGCTACTATGTGCTTTTTGCAGTGCAGTGGAGACACCCAGCGGCTAGCTAAATAATCCATGTTAGAGGTAACTCAAAGATATCTTGTCTTTTACCTCATAACTCTTGACCCATAGATAGGCCAAAATTGTATTATGACATCTAAGGTTGGTCTGCTTCTATTTCCTCCATCCTATAGTGATTAAACCTTTTGTTTTATTGTTTTTTGGATTGAAAAAAAAGATATTTATGCCAGTAGATTCAAGTCTAGCTTGCCTCTTTGAACAATATCCTTCCATTTACTTTCTTTAGACCATGGACAATGTTCTTAGGAGTTTTTTTTTCTGCTGAAACATCAGGGAGAATATCTTTACCTCTTTCTTCTGGTCCACTTTCTCAGTCTCAATCATGTGGTACTACGTTTTATTTGTAGGAAAGAAAACAAAGGCGTGATTTGGAAAATTGTCTTTTGTTTTTGTAAAGCAACTAGTAGTTTCTTAGATAATGAAAAAGCCTAGGGAAAAGGCTAAATACCCCAGCCTTCCTATTGTACTGTACATGTGTCCAGTGGTGGGATTCAAATATGTGAACAACCAGTTCTCTGTGTAGATGTTGCTTCCAGAAGTCTGTTCTGGGCCTGGGCAACAAAAAATTAGCTACTGGTTCTGCAGAACTGGTGCGAACCGGCTGAATTCCACCACTGCATGTGTCTAAACCAGTCTTTTCTTCCTCTATGTGCTTCTCCAAGGTGAATTGGGGGAATTTTATTCAGAAATCAAACTCTTATTAAAAGGATGTTGAAACAAAGGTGAATAGAGTCTACCCAATGGGGTTTTTTGTGTCATTTACTTTAAAAGGACAAGCCATTGTATTTGCACACTTCAGTAAAGGCTAAAGGAAAGTATTACATTAGAATCCAGGGAAAGAAATCAGGGGAAATTTTTGCAGCATTGTAACTGGTGATTTGTCTTTCTCTGCAGTTAGTCATAATAACAATCTATATAAATAAAAATGTAAATGTTCGTTTGTTCAAAATCTTAAATCTCCGAAAGTTCTTCACCGATTGCTTTGAAATTTTGACACAACGTTGCATTCGAATACGCACGTGTTTTTATATACCTATATTATATAGATGTCACACCTGTGACAGGTAAAAACATGCTTTTTTGAAAAACAGTGCCATCTGTTGGACATAATTTAACCAGACTGAGCCACAGCAACGCGTGGCTGGGTACAGCTAGTAGAACAATAAGAATAACTGTTCTATGTGCTTGGTTTTCTTAATATTTTTAATTCATTTTGTGCTTACAATATTAAATTATTATATTATAATAAATAAATAGTATTTTTTTATTAGAAACTGCAGAAATATTTTGCAAATTCTGAAATTGGGAGGCTTCAAGAAGATTCTTCTAACATTGTGGAATTGATCCGTTTGGCTTTTAAGGTAAGAAGCAATATCTGATATTTTATGCTGTAACTTTTTGGGATAACACAATTCTCTTATAATTCCCCATAAATGATTTACTCACTCACATTTCATTCTTGCAATTTGTTCTTGAAGCAGCTTTTATTTCAGCCAATTCGTAAAGTATTTCCAGGCAGGTGGCAATTAGATGATATAAATCAGGGGTGTAAAAACTGCGTATCTCAAAAAGGGTTGCCTGTGGAGTTGTACAATAAATGTAGGCTCTTAGTTGCATTCAGAGGGATTGGTGGGGATTAAAAGACAGATAAACCCCCATTCAGTTTTTAAATGATAATTAATAACAATATTTATAAAGCACTTCAATCTATATAACTCTGGATAGATTATATGAGCAAATGAATATAACATGGCTATCTCCTTCCCTAAAATCAGAATTACAAATAATAATTTAAAAACAGAAACAGAAATAATATAAATGTGTACTAAAACATTCTACTGAAATAAGCTTGTAATGAGGGCCTTCCTAAACTTACAGAGGGGAAGGACCAATTATACCTTCAGGGAAGCGTGTTCCATAAAGTGGGGGCCACCACTGCGAAGATCTGGTTTAGTCCCATTAACCTCTTATAACGGAGGGACCAAGAGGAGGCCCTTTCTCAATGTTCATACCAAATGGTCAGAATCATGCTTGGCAAGGCATTTCCTGACATATCCCTGTGCTATGGTTGGATATTGTTGATTGACTGCAGTAACTCAAATTATGAAATCAGTGGTCTGAATCCATTCCAGTTCTGTATGTTTTCTTTCCATCTTTTTCCCCAGAACATTCGTTCCAAGGTGGACGTTCGAGTTTATGATATCCCAAAAGCCATGAAAACTGAAATAGCCTTACAAAATGAAAATATAGTGTCTGGTTCATTACATAATGTTCAAGGTGTATTGGTAAGCTTTCTATTTTGCATTTCTATCTCTTAATGATTTACAGTTAAAAACAAAAAACTCTTGATTTTGGAAAGGCATTTAGCTCCTTTGGCTAAAGGGGCCTTCTCTGAGTTCAGAAATTTGTATAACTTAAAGCAACAGGAAAAAAACTGGGAGCTACTGCGGTTCCTGAACCGCTTTTTTTTTTTTTTTTTTTTTGCAGCATTTCAAGATTGCACTGCCAAAATTCATTGACAGATTCAAAGTGCAATTTCCTCCCAAATCCCACGTATGCTAAACACGTGTTACACTTTCCAGTAAATCTGGGATAACTGAATCAGCAAATTCCACATCAGAAATCTGAACATTTAAAAAAACAAAATAAACCAAAGCATATCTCTACTGGAGTAGCATCATGGTATCTGTGCCCATTCCTGCTGCTGAGGATATCCCTGCTCAAAAGAGCGCCCTCTGGCTGTAAACAATTAAGAACAGTCTATGTCTCTCATATCATCATCTCAGGTTGAGCCACTGATATAACCTGTTGATCCCTGAAGATATCTATTGAAGATTCTGGATTTGTATTAATTTCTGATAGAATATAAATCAACTTTATTCCATAATGACTGTGGCAGTAAATAAACCCAGCTTCAGTGCCATGCCAGTAGGTTTAATAGTGTTGGTAATTGGCTGTTTCGATCAAGAAGAGTAGTGTCCCAAATCCCAGATCATCTTTGCATTTTATAGGATTGTTGTAACTCCATCCTAGCTTTGCTTGAGGGATTGGGAGGCAAAACAGTTAGTAAGAATAGCTTTGGAAGCCTGCGCTTCTTGCATCCTCTTTTCAAACTCAAGAGAAGAAAATCTTATTTCCATGTTTCTATCCATTCAGCTTTTGACCTAATTCAGGAGGAAAGAACCCACTAGTTATTTTGAATTTTAGTTCCCATTGGTCCCCAGTTATCCATGCCAGAAATAAAGAATCATGCAGTTATAAAATAAAACATCCAGTGGACCTCAAGAACCCCAATAGATCTATCTCTAGTCTTTCAGTTCCCAAATTTGTGGATAAAATTGCTTCTTTTTCTAAATGAATTCAGAAAAGGTACAGGCTTCTCTCTTCTCTTCAGAAAACCTTCAATGTGCATTTGAAAACTAATCACTTTGATGACAAGCATATCTGTGATCTCCCAGAGAAGGAACGGAAAGGTATTATCCACATTAAGCCCTCCTCTTTCGGTGACACAATGGAGATTGATGCCTCAATTCTCTGTGACACCTGCTCCTGTGAAAAGGTAGGTTCTTTTCCTCTTCTTTGATTAGCAGTTCTGAGAATTGTTCTAGACCTGGACAATATGTGACACAAGAAATTTAACCTTGGTCTGAGCAATTTTTACTAATAGAAATTGTAAGATTAAAGGATGTTATGTGTGTGGAATGAGGTCCAGTAATGTCTTCTTGCTTGTTTGCAGAATCAGGAAGTTAGCTCACTAAAGTGCTTTAACAATGGAAATTTTGTTTGTGGACGATGTGTGTGCAATCCAGGCTGGTAAGTAGTATCACAATTAGGTTTTTCTTTCAGTGTGGGGCCCATTGTCTTTCCTCTACCAGAAAGTTTATGCCTTTCTTCTCCAAGAACAAGAAGTGTAGATGAAACGGAGAAACTGATAACAGGGTCAATTCTCTTCTTGCCCCTCAGAAAGTTTTTTTTCCCATGTTTTAGATAGTGTCCACATATATATTTTTATTCATATATTTTAAAATTATATATTTTAATATTTATATTTTATATACACTTATATAGATTTATGTAATTGGTGGCTCACAACTATTAAAAATAACAGAACAATAAAAAATATAAACAAAAATATTCAACCATCCTAAAACCATTATTACACTAGTCAAACACAAAATATAATCCGCTTGCTGGTTAATACAAGTAATACATCCCATTTAATATAATCTTTGGAAAGGCTCACTGCTACCATTTGACACTAAAGGACGGTGGCAGTGCCTTACCTTTCCTAAAGGCCCGAAGGATAGGGGGCCAATCTAAGTTCCAGTCTATATCCCAGTATATATTGTATATCAGGTACGTGAATTCAAATCCCAGTAAAGGTTTGAACACATCTAGAAGATTATCATATAGTACTTACTCCATATACTGTATTTTCCGGCGTATAAGACGACTGGGCGTATAAGACGACCCCCGACTTTTGAGAAGATTTTCAGGGTTTAGAAAGTCGTCTTATACTCCGGAAAATACGGTAGTTAGCCAAGTTTGTTGTAGTGGCTAGGGGATCAGACTATAAACCGGGAGACTGAGGTATGAAGCCAGCTAGGTAACCTTGGGCTAGTTACTTTCTCTCTGCCCTAAGAAGGAGGCAATGGCAAACCAATTCTGAAAAACTTTGCCAAAAAACTGCAGAGACTTGTCTGGATAGTCTCTAAGAACTGGACACCATTGAATGTAAGGGGGAGAAAAAAACTATATAGAAGCTACCTATGCTTGGCTAAGTCCCATGTAAGAGTAAAAGTAATCAAATGATGTCTGCTAAGGACAGTAACAAATATAGCAATTTATAAAGCACTTTATGCTATTCGTCAAAAATGAAACCAGACCTATCAATAGTCAAATACCCTAAATCACTTGGGCTTCTAATTAGCTGTACAAGATGTTATATCTCTGCATCTTGTGGCTATTCTCACACTTGACCTCTTCTCTCTTTGACAGGCGGGGGGACCTGTGTAATTGCTCAACATCCTCCATAACTGATACTTCAGCCTGCACACGACCTGGAGATGAAGAACCCTGTTCTGGCAAAGGCGAATGCCTTTGTGGGGCCTGTGAGTGTTATTCTGAAGATCTCATCCAGCGTTATGAAGGACGGCATTGTGAATTTGACACCTTGCAGTGTCCCCGCACTTCTGGATTCCTCTGCAATGGTGAATCTTTGGGGAGGGCAAAATGTTGCACGCTCCGCCCTCAGTTCATTCAGATTCAGCCTTGTGAACTACTAGCAGACAATTCTTAAATGGATCAGGAATACTGGAGTAGCTTTGGCCAATTTGGGGGGTCTCTGGTGGTATTGGAGTCCCTCACCCCTGGAAGAAGTTGAAGAAGAGTGATTTTGAGGGCATGTCCCATTGTTGATAAAGGTTCAGAATAGCTTGCCCAGACAAGGTGCTACAGTGATAAAGTTTAGAATAACTGGAGATTTCTAGCGGCAGTAATCTCTTTTTTTTCCAGATTAGACCGTGTGTTATATTATTTATGGAGCATGCAACTAAAAGAAAATATTAATAAGAGGAAACACCAGAATTCTAATAGGGATTGCAAGAATGCAAGTTGGGCAGAGTTCAGTCACTTTAGAATCCCCCCCCCCCCCGGCTAGTTATTTTCATTCAATTCATTCTATCTCACAAGTTAGGAATGATTAATTGATTATGTGCCATCAAAACATCGTCAACTCTCAATGATCACTTAGATACCTCTTCCACATTTGTGTAAGGAATGACTCTATGCATATTGCTTTAACTTATTAGAAGAAAAGTGAGATATAATTATAGCAAATAGACAGTTGGCCCCAGTTGTATTCTTGTTCAAACTGAATCTCTAGTTGTATGCAGAAGTGTTTTGAATGTCCATATGTTTTCTTTGAGGGCTTTTTAGAATGCATCAGGCACACGCACAAAAGCAAACACAAAGGGGGAAAAAAAGATGTTTTATTCATGCATTCTTGTCACCTTTGCTTAGCTTAGCTGTAAAGATATGTATCCTATTTCTTTGTGAACTGCCTCCATACTGCTAATAGGTGAGTTAAGACTTCATTAATAATAGAAACATAAAAACAGACCGGCTACGTAGGTAAGTTGGCTCTAAATGTCTTGTGCTGATGCTACCTGTCTCTCTATAGACCGGGGACAATGCTACATGGGCCAGTGTGCATGTGAAGCTGGTTGGGAAGGCCCCGGCTGTGAATGTCCCACAAGCAATGAAATCTGTGTCAGCAGCAATGGGGTGAGTAAATTGTCCATCCAGACAAGCTATCAGAAGAGGTCATAAGAAGAAAATAAAATATTGGTTGTCCCCGCACCCCAATCCCATGTTGGATGCAGAAAGTGTTTAATATGGCAATCCGTGTGAAAATCTGCCAATATATATAGTTATTACAAAGTTAATAAATTGGAGATGGAATCCAGTATTGTCAATTCAGCTTAAAAGGAATCATTGGATTAGATCTCTAGTGAGGTATGGCCAGCTTGACAGTTGATCTTATTGCTGTTTGTATAATCTGTGATCCTTGGATAAAAACAGGCAGAAGAACGGTCTTTCCCTCTCTTTTAAATGTTTCCTGGTAATGGAAAGAGATCTGTCGCTAAGATCAGGTAAAGCCATCTATTTAGTGGTGGGATTCAAATAGGTGAACAACCAGTTCTCTGTATGGATGCCACTTCCGGAAGTTCCTTTTGGGCCTGGGCAACAAAAAATTAGCTACCGGTTCTGCCGAAGTGGTACAAACCAGCTGAATCCCACTACTGGTGTAGTAATCAGTGCTCAGTCATTGCAGGGTGCAAATATGGCTGACCGCCTTCGCAGCGTTTATTCTTTTATACAGGTTTCCAAGCAGCAAAACTTTAACATGGCAATAGCGTAGCAATAGCATTTTATTGGTTAAACTCCTTACCAATCCTTAAGAAGATATCAGCTAGGAGGCCCAGCCAGGGAGCAGTTTCTACCACATCCTGTTGATGTAACCTAGCTGATATCATGTGAACCAGGTGATATCATGTACCAGCCTGGGGTAGTTTCCCACATTGCCATGGGGATGTGAATGGATGAGATCATGTAGAGAGAAGAGGCACGCAGGCTTTGGGGGGGGGGCAGTTGGCTGCACACGACCTCTACCTGGCCCCTATCTATACACACGGGATCTGTTGCCTCCGTGTATGCAGTAAAGAAAAAGCTGAACAATTACTTTGCTCTCTTGTAGCTGATTTGTAATGGACGAGGGAGATGTGAATGTGGTATATGCCTCTGTGATAACCCCACTGCCCATACTGGTCCCACCTGTGAAACTGGATATTCGGTAAGTGCATGAAAGTGCACATTTGTTAAGCAAATGACTATGACTATTAATACTGTTGCTATATTGTACTAGGAAAAGTTGGTACAAGAACTGTTGTGTAATGGGAACAGCGAGGCATTGAAGACACGGAATTGAATTAACAGCTCTTTATTAGGTTCTCACAGAAGTAAGCTCTAGTCTAGCAGCTGCTTGACTTATATTTATACAGACCGCCACTAGGTGGCGGCCAATCAGTTTAAAGTACTCATTCCCGCCTAAAACAAAAGGCTTAAAGTTATACAGACAGACAGTCTATAATTCAAATGGAACTATCAGTTAACTGATAGATGCCAGAATGTGGATAACTACAGGTACCGGATACGCATGCTGCTGTAGTGCCTTATTAATAGTGCACTTATAATCAGCGCAAATGCGCACCTCTTTGTTAGGCTTGACCAGTGTCACTATGGGGGTTTCTCACACACAGCTGTCAATGGGTTGCAAGACTCCCTGTTGAACGAGCTTATCTAACTCTGCATCAATCTTGGGCTTAAGGGCAAAAGGCACTCTACGAGGCTTTACTCTGATTGGGGCTACGGTTGGGTCAAGGTGGAGAGTAATTGGTGCTCCTTTGTACTTCCCTAACTTGGGACTGAATATGTCCACAAACTCCTGGCAGACAGCTGCCAAATCCGCTGTTTGGGTTCTGTTGATGCCAGTCACATGTATGCACAGGGCATCAAACCAGTCTAAGCCGATTAGGCTTGTTCACTGGCCTTCCACTACCACGACACTGAGGGGACCCTCAAACTCTTTGAATGTCACTTTTATCGTAGCTTCTCCTTTAACCGCTATGTGGGAGTTTTGAAAATCTGTCAAAACTAAATCTGATGGCTTGAGTCTGACTCATTTTCCGCCATGTCTGCAGATAAAATTAAAAGTCTTATAGGAAATTATAGACACAGCTGATCCAGTGTCCAGTTCCATGGAGCATGGAACTCCTTGCAGCTTGACTTTTAGTCTAAGCTTTTATTTTAGGGGGCGATGAGCTCCAGTTCTGAGGATGCTCCTTCTTCCGGAGCAAAATCCTATTCTATTCTGCCCCGGGACCCCATTACCTCTCCTGGGGAAGTCTTTGCGTGGCGATTCCCTCTGGCAACCTTTACAGAGGTCAAACAGAGGTTTGCCACATGCTTGGCACACAGCTGTGCGAAACTGGCATTCTGAGCGCTGGTGTCGTCCTCCGCAGCCCTGACAGCTAGGGAAGAAAACTGCTTTGTCAAGCGGCTGCTGCCTTCTTTCTGGGATCTTCTGCATCCGGTCGATCTCAATGTCTACGTCTGGGTCTTCTGTTCTCTCTGACTCTTCATGACGCACAGCCGTCTGGCTGGGGAAATTCTTTGAGGGATGTAAAGCCTTGACGGCTCCACCTGCGGCCTCTTCTGTCATCACTTCTTTCAGTGCGTCCTGGAATGTCAGGGTTTCTTTAGCAAACAGCCTCTGCTGTAAGTCTCTGCTTCTCAAGCCACATACCAGTCAGTCCCAGAGCCAGTCCTCTAGGTTGGGAAAATTGCAGAGCCGGGACGCTTGGCGTAGGGCGGCCACAAATTCAGCAACGGTTTCACCTGGTTGCTGTTCTCTCTGCTCGAACGTGTGTCTGTATGCGATAATGGACAGTCTAGGTTCGAAGTGCTCCTTGAGTCTTCGTTTTAAGTCAGCGAAGGTGACTGACTCCAATGTAGCAGGAGCGACTAGGTTCTCCACTATATCAAAGGTGACTTGGCCACACACACACAACAATCTTGCTGTGATGACCCAGGGCCCCGAACGAAGGCAAAGCAATTAGCTGGTCAGAACAATTGTCTTTGTAAGCACTGCCAACGTTCACCCAACAGCCCCTACATATGCTGGCACAAGTTCAATAAAACAGTCAGGGAAGTTTACACAGTTCTTTAAAGTAAAACAGGTAACAAACAAACGTATAATCCTTTCAACTCCCAGCTTGCCTGTGAACTGCAAACTGCACACCGCAGACAGCAAGGAGAAATCAGCAGGAAGCAAACTTGGTCCAAAATACAAAGTGTCCAAGTACAAGAGTACACTATCACAAGAGTTCACATTTGTTCCCGGCAAATGCCCCACCCCACAGCATCTCCTTAAATCCTACTCCCCAGGTGTGCCTTGTGGAGTGGGGCGTGATGCTCTCCTCCCGAGCAAGTGAACCTGCCTCCATTGTTCCCTCCTCCTCTCTGCTCTCCTTGCTCTGGGATCTGGGGGGGAGGGGCCTTGCTCCTCGCCTGAACTCTGCCTTCCCTGTTCCAAACTTGAAGGGCCCTGGCCTGCTTCAGCCTGCTCCTCCCCACAGTCCTCTGGAGCCACAGACACCCCCTCCTGGGCCTCAACAGGGAACTCCATGTCGTCCTCAGAGTCAGGCTCAGACGGAGGCATGACACTTGCAGCTTTTAAATTATCTTCTCTGACCTGGTTCACTCTGAAGTAGTTTTCTACTCTTGAGACATACGAACTCAATCATTCGGGGTGTGTTACGTCAAACTCTGAAAGCTTGCCAACTTTGGCCATGGCTGGCTGTTACGGCGTCTCCAATGCCTTATGCTGCTAGGGCTTCTGTGAGTTTCCTAGGGATGGGTCCCAAGGAATGTGTTATCTCCAGCATTTGCATACTGGCAGGCAGAAGGGGGGAACGTGGTTCCAACCAGGGCACTGATGCCTGGTCTTACCCCTTAGTGACTTAGCTCTTTCCTCCTAGCAGCATATCCCACCTTCATCACCATTGTTGTGTAGTGGGAACAGTGAGGCATTGAAGACACGGAGTTGAATTAACAGCTCTTTATTAGTTTCTCACAGAAGCGAGCTCTAGCAGCTTCTTGACTTATATTTATATGGACCACCGCTAGGTGGCAGCCAATCAGTTTAAAGTTCTCATTCCCGCCTAAAACAAAAGGCTTAAAGTTATACAGACAGTCTGTAATTCAAATGGAACTATCAGTTAACTGTTTTTTATAACAGACCTTATGATTTAACTAAATACATAACAAGAACGTATTATTTATGTTCCTTTATCTGAATCACCTTGCCTTTTCATAATGCAATTATGTTGTTGATAGCATCCATTACGCAAATATACTGTAAGCCTGCACAAATATAGCCACAAAAGCACACGCTCTTTCTTCATCTGTCAATATTAACTCTTCCTGAATCCAGGAATGACTGTCCCTATCAATCAATGAAACAATCAATCAGAACAATAAAATTTAAAGAATACCTACAGGAGTGGCAAAGCAGATACGCATGATTTGCTAGGATAAACTATGCAGCTTACTTTTGAGTGGTGAGAAACTAAGGTTGCCGATGTTTACTGGGGATACAGTTGTTTTTGAAGGAGGCACTTCAGGGATATAAGGCGTATTTTAATATGCATAAGAATAGAAGTTCACATTATTAATTCCCCAGCAGAATCAAGTTCCCTGTTAGATTGCTTGGGAAACCTTGCTTTTTTGCAGAAGGCTTTATCTTCTATCTGCCAGTTCCCAATCAGGATGGCATTTCTTTTTCTATGGGAGGTTCCCTCACTCACCCCTTCTTCTCCACTGGCTTCATTCACAAGACTGCATCTCACATGATAAGAGTATTCCTTGCTTGGGGCATGTACTGTCCTTTCTGATACTTTTTAATGTGATAAATGCTCTGAATGCTGTAAGCTGCCCAGAGTCACTTCGAAGCAAGGTGGGCAGTAAATCAATTTAATAAATAAATATCCATCTCTCCAGTCCTCACTATCTATTGGTGCTCATCATTAATCTAGAACTGAAGGTTTTGTCTGCCTTCTCATGCTTTCTCCCTCGTCTCTAGGCTTTCCAGCGGGTATGTGAGGAAGAATTCCGAAGTTGTGTCCAGTGTCAGGTTTGGCAAACTGGAGAGAAGAAGGGACAGAAATGTTCAAAGTGCCAGTTCAAGATCAAGCTGGTGGATGAATTGGATCAAGGTA